CCAGCCGGTAGAATCTGAAGATCTCGCAAGCGCTGGTGTTCAGGCCGCGTTTGGGCATCACACCTAAACACATGAAGCAGTGACTCTCCAGCCTGAGCACAGCAGCTCACGCCAACATCACGCTATATGAGTGAGTACCCAAGCCTCTCTGAGGGGACGCGGAGTGGTATTCAGACAGCAAGTGAGCGTAGGGTTTCACCGCACTGACCGTGTAATAGCGAATGTTGCCGTCGCCCTGCGACGCAGACAGAGAGTAATCTGAACATCTCATGGATCATCCAACAGAAAACAGGCATCTCGATGAAACATCTTTAGCAAACACATGCATGTCTGTCTCTAGATTAGATGTGCATGTTGCGTTTGTAGATGTGATCTAAGTGGCACATTGAGACGTTCAACACCTTCCCAGCCAGATACAGCATGTGTGTGTCAGCGTCATAAAAGGGGAAAATCACTCCTGAACCTCCATCCAGATCCTCCTCCAGTAACGGCTCAGACAGATCCTCCTGCAGGCAAACACACTCACCATATAACACACCTCTGAACACGTGTGTGTGTGTGTGTGTCTGTGTGTGTGTGTGTGTGTGTGTGTGTGTGTGTTACCACATCCCACAGGACAAACTGTCTCTGGTTCCAGCAGGAGCTTCCTGTGGACACCAACATCTTCAGATCCCACAGGAACAAGATCCTGGACACTTTATGAGAGCGACAGCGAGACTCCTGCGCACAGATGTAGCTCAGGCCTTTATCATTAGAGTTCATAACCACACACACACACACACACACACACACACCTGCAGAACCCGCCCAGTCCGTGGCTCGATGATTCGGATCTTCTTGTCTTTGCAGGCCGTGGCCAACAGACTTCCATCCGCATTAAAACTCAAACACAGCACCAGCTCAGAATGTGTGTTTATCACACACACCGGCACCTCAGCCGAGTCCAGACGCCACACCAGCACCTACAACACACACACACACACACACACACACTGATGATTTCAAGCGCTCTACACAAACAAGCGTGTCAGAAACATGATCCATATCCACCGCATCAGTACATCTGTCTGCCCGCTGAATCTTGCATTCTTGCAATCTTATTCTCCGGCTAACACTACAATTGAGTTTTTTATACTGTTGTTTTTCAGGGTTGACTCAGGCTGTTTTTCAGTCCTGCACCCCTGGAACACGATTGGACTTGTTTGAGTAGCAGTTGGGCTGTCTGGCACTACAGACATTATGACTTTCTGCGTACTGTGAAAAGCACAATATAGATACATTTGACTTGACTTGGTATGTCGCAAAGCATTGTGGGATTGCCTTCAGCATAAAGAGTGAGTGCAGCGCTTTGAATCTGGCCAAAACAAGCTATCATAGAGTCAGGAGTGCAGAGCAGTCTACATAGTCGACTCACTAGGGAACAGAGCTGCCGTGTGTGTGTGTCTGTGTGTGTGTGTGTGTGTGTGTCTGTGTGTGTGTCTGTGTGTGTGTGTGAGTGTGAGTGTGTGTGTGAGTGAGTGAGTGCGTGCGTGCGTGTGTGTGCA